CATAACAAATATAAACTACATATACATATAATACACTATTCAAATACATAATAACTTAAACAATATTACATATATAACATGTGATAACAACATAACCAGTTTGCTTAAGTGGCAAACTGACAATTTTCACTTATTTTGTCTTGTGTTATAGCAGGATTAGACGTACTTCAAAACTCGTCAAGTGATACTTTTATCAATAGAAAATAAAGCGTTTCACTATTTGGCAAGGTCATGAAGCTTTTTTAAAACTTCAAAATGATTTATTTTTAAGTCTTTGTGCTTAGAACAGGTTTATGAGGAATATCTGCCTCATAATGCCAATGGCAGGATTTCAAATAATGACCTATATTTAAATTTTTTTCTCTCTCTCTTTATTGCTGTCCTCTCTCTGGATTTGAATGGTGGTACTTGCATTGGACCAAGGGATTGACCGGGGTTTGTTCAGCTTTACAAACCTTAAGGCAGGACTCTGAGCACCTAGCATCTAACCCCCATATGTGCTCTGGGAATTCAAGGACTAAGTAACGCAGCAGTGTGAATAACAAAACAACAGTCTACTGTACTAAATGTACTTTCACATGGTGCTAAGTCAGAACATGGCTGGACGGACAAATATTTTAGGTGGGGAGATGAATAGATAATAACATCTATACAACAAATGCTAAACACTCATGTGATGTTTGAAAAATATACCACACTATATTGTTAACAGCAAGCACTCCTTATTTAAACATGTACATTCTCAAGAAAAACCTGACATTCAGATACAATTTGTACTTATTATTCTGAGAAAGGAGAAAATGAACAGCAGTTGTAAGTTTGCTATAGCAGTTGCAACTCATTTTTGTTGAAATGTGTGCCTAATAGCACTAACAGATGTCAAACTATCTAACATTTAGATATATGCTAGAAACCTACAGTACACTTCTCAAACCACATTTTCCATATAGATTTAGTCCATATATTTTTAAGCGTTCAGTATAGGTACGTTTTATTTTTAGAAGTAAGCTTACTGTATGACAGAGATGTATGTATAAGGATATGTTTTTCTTGACTATTGATGCACTCTGTTGGTCATACCGTATATTACATGGCACAGTTTGAGCTAAAACAAGTTAAGGTAATTGATAGAAGGTAATCAAGGTGCTTAACAATCAGTCAAGTAAGTTACTCAGACTAAGAAACTACAGTAGATCAGGTATAATCTTACTTGTAGTTGTGCAGTTACCCCCCAAAAGACAATGGATGTAAAATGCTAAGTAATAACTGATTGATCCAAGTTTTAAAATAAATAAAATAACACAAACAAATAAATAAGCTGTATCTCTTCCATTGTGATTGATGTTGACTTTGACCATATACACTAATTTTTATTTATTTCATTTTACGTTTTCCTGCTTCCGTTTCATTTTTTAGGGTTTCACAGTAAAATATATAGAAAAAACATAACGCATTAGTACTTAGCTTACCCAGCTTAGCAGCAATGCCATTTGAACCAATATGGACAAGTGCTAACTGAAATGCAAATGAACTTATCTTATCCTTATATCATTATCCTTGTCCTGCTGATGCTGTTTTGTTACAACACAACAGCAATAAAACATGGTACTATACTGAAAGTCACTACAGTGACTGCTGTGTGTTGGATTGTATTTATGTTTTGCAAGTCCAAAGACTGACTTTAATATCAAATGATCAAATAAACAAATTAAATATTACCAACCTCCAAGCTCATTTGGGTGCGACTGCTCAGTCCGCTGCTGCTGCGTTGCTTTTTATTACAAGTGTGTTCTCTGTCATCATCGTCAATGAAAATCTGGTTACTGTGGTCCAATGTGCTGATGTGACCTCTGTGGCTCCACCAAAACCATTGGTTTTGAGATAAATATATTATTATCGTCGTTTCTTCCACTTTGTTTTTTGCAACTAACTGGTCAAAATTCATTCACAAATGTAGTTGGTGTGGAATGAAATTATATACAAACAAACAATGAAAAGTTAACAAAACAAAGAAACAAACTATTCTAAATATGAGCTTTGGCCTCATGTGGATAACAGCGCTGACAATGGGTATGGTTCAGGCCGCAAAATGAGAGGAGAGTTTAAACCCAAAAGCCACATTCAGGAGGTTTGTTACTTGGAAGTCACACAGATGTCAGAGCAGCTGTTGTAGCTTTGCTGTACAAGAATCTAAGTGCGACAAGGAAGGGGAGTAGTCTTCAAAACTCCGTCTTTCTGTTGAAGATCTCGCACTCTTTCTCATTCCACCAGCTAACACTGAATCTTCTTCATACCAGTGAATGAGGATCTTCTAGTCCTGCTTTATAAGACAGTTTGTTGCCATGGCATCAAATGCCAGCCACATGTTGGAGGCTGCCTTGGAGCAAATGGATGACATTATTGCTGGTAAGAGTTTCTGTTTTCATTATCAATAGACTGCCCAGTTTGTAATTGCAGGCCTCCATAAAACCGGCTCAACCCACATGATTTTCACATACATACTGTATATATAGTGCACAGAAAAAAATATTCTAAGGCTTTTTAAATGGTGATGGATAAGAACAAGAGCTAGAAAAGAACAGAGTTAGTAAATCATTTGTTGGGGATAAGAGATTATTTTGTTTTAGTTGTTTGACTGAAATAGATCTAAGCAGGTTTATGATTTAATTAGTACCTTTAAGGTTCCTGTAATCTCTCTTATTCTCCTTCACTCAATCAGGCACTCACTCAGTTATACGCTTTTGTACTTTTAGTGCTTCTTCTTGACCTTATATCTCTCGCAGAGCACTAATTGCATAAGCTCTAAGTAACTCTCCAATGCCTTCTGCATTTTCTAGCAGGGCTGATAGATTTTAGTCAGTGCTATTTGTCACAACCTCAGCAGTCTGTTAAAGACAACGTTCTATTAATAGAGGTGACATTCTAACCATAAGCACACCGTAACGACAAACTATACCACAGATAGCAACTAATCTAAATAAACTAACTACTCACACACTGTCATTGAAAATCCACATAACTTGCATTACAAAATTGTGAATGTGTCCACATTGTGTCCTGACTACATTAATGTACCTTTGATTCAATTTCAAATGGCATATACAGGATGAAGAGTACTTTCTGTAACTTAGACATGATGATTACAGTAACCTAAGTTGAACCTCTAATTTGTGGATTTCAGAGCCCACGTTGTACAGTTCACAGCCATTTGATGCTATTTAAATCCAGTAAGCCACATTGGAGCACAATAGTGCCCTCAAGAGGTAATTTCAGGAACTATTCTTATTGCACAGCCTGCCAGTCAACTAAATCAGTTGTATGCTCTGTGCTGATGCCAAGCAAACTGGGATGCTGGAGTAATCGCATTACTTTTCTGTTGATTGTCCTGTCGTTCTTTCCTCTAGGCAAAATGGGTGAAGGGCTGTTCAGAGCTCTTGTGCAGTTAGGTGGCCAGGACTGCCAGTCCTCAGAGTGTGCTTCACAGTTGACCCTTCTCCCACATGTGGACCCTGCCCTCAAGGCTCTTCAGCTGACTGAGGGCCTCAGGGTGGTGCTGGAGGGCCAGGGGGGTGAGGAAGAGCAGGACTCGCTCAGGAAACAAGTCTCCACTGATACAGCACGTGTTATACTAAAATGGCTGGAGAGAGATGAGGTGAGTAGCCCAATATCAATATCAATATCAATATTAATATTAATTTTATTTATATAGCACACTTAAAACAACATAAGCAATAAAACATTATAATATAAAGTATACGATATATAGTGATATTAAAATTGCCAGGAATAATAACAGACTTAGAAAAGAGATGTGTTTTTAACAGTGATTTAAAACGTTCGAGAGTTGGGGCGGTTCTGATATGGACTGGCAGGTTGTTCCACAGGTTAGGGGCAGCTACACTAAACGCTCGATTGCCTCTGGTTTTAAGTCTGCTTCTGGGTACATCCAGGAGGAGGGGATTGGTGGACCTCAGCACTCTAGCTGCAGTATGAACGAGAAGAAGCTCCGTTAAGTACAATGGAGGCAATCCATTAAAGCATTTAAAAGTTAAAAGTAAGATTTTAAAATCAATCCTGTAATGAACAGGAGGCCAGTGGAAGGAGCGCAACACGGGTGTGATGTGGTCCGTCTTCTTCTTTCCTGTCAGGCGGTGGGCAGCAGCATTTTGGACTAACTGCAGGCGCTGAATAGATGACTTGTCCACATATAAGGAGTTGCAATAGTCAAGGTGGGAAGTTATAAAGGCATTAATCACCCTCCAAATCTTTAAGAGGGAGATAGGCCTTTACCTTGGCTATAGTTCTCAACTGGAAAAAGCAGGCTATAACAGTGGCGGATATCTGTTTATCAAATTTAAATGCAATATATCCAATATAACACCAAGACTGTTTGAGCCCACCGTGTCACATTCACATCTGAAGACCCTCGACACTCAGACAGGGATGGATGACACACCATAACAGCATTATATAACACCCGGGTTGCAAATCCAAAACCAAATTGAAATATCCAATATATGAGAAAGGGTTTTGTTGGAGAACTATGCTAAGGCACACTACCATCTACTACATTCTACTACAATAGAGTCCATGTGTTCTTGAACGTGGTCATCAACATCTGGAGGGCTTTTTCCTGTCTGCTAAGAGGTAGTGAGCTGGAAACTGGATCTATTGCAAACTGCACTGGTAATGAGATCCAGAGCTCCTGTTTAAAGCACAAGCAGTTGCATACCCTTTTCACTGTCTCATCTCCCTTATTATTTTCATTCTTATACTTCTGCATTCTGATGCCATTCTTATCTCTCTTCATTCTTATACCTCTGCATTACTCCTGTCCTCCCTTTTCTCTCTACTTAAATTTGTTATTGTCAACTCTACACTCACGTTCCCTGGCATTGAGTCCCCCCTGCCTCCTCCTCCCCTTCCGCGTCGTCTTTACTGACTTCTTGCTCTGCACCACATCTGACAAGCATGTGCTGCAGAAGGTTTCCTCTCCCCTGTGCCCCTTTAGGAAGCCCCGCAAAAGTAATTCGACCGAAAGGTACTTCAGACAGAGTGAGAGAACGGGCTAGAGACAGACAGAGAGAGGTACAGGAGAAAGAAAGGGAGGACAGATGAACATGAGAGATCATGAGGTGCCGCAGAAATGCAGATCTGTGGAGAACACTGAGGCATTTTGAGAGTGCTTGAGAGAAAAAACAGGAGGGAGAAACATGTTTGGAAGGGGTAGAAAAAAGTGAAGAGAAGAAAGAAAGGGAGTACAGCCAACTGGCATTATTCAGCCCAGCTCTAAAAGTCTCAGGCTGCCCAGACTTCAAACCACACGGACCAAGGTTCTCTCTGCTTTCTCTTCAACTGCACTATGTAGGGTCTGTAAAAAGAGGAGAGTTGGGTTCAGGAAGATCGAGAGTGCAGCACCGATAGGAGCCGTTGTTTTGTCTTGCTGTGAATTATGGTATCCATTCGTCCTCCTTGATGCTTAACAGCTCTGGCTTTATTTTGTTAGTATCTAAAATTAAGAGCCAGACCTACAGTACAATGGGCCTGCAGAATGGAGTATGACATTGACTTCAGCAAACATTTTGCCTGGCTTAGGAAGGTAAGACATCCCCCACTTGCACATCTGCTCTTCATACTTTCATACTGCACCAAAATTGCACAAAGGATCTTGGTTGTTTATTTAGCTCTTGCAGTGTTGTTGCTTTTACAACATAATTATGGTTACCATGGTTGCTAATTTGGGAGGAAGACATGTTTTGTTGGTGAGTTGAAGAGGTGTGCAGCAGAATATGCAACACATGCAATCTGCTATACAAGCTCCTTGTGGACTGGAAAGGTTAATGTAATAATAAGAGCAACTAACTTTTAAGCATTACCGATATAAGCTATTATTTGATTACAGAAATGCAGCACGACTTGGTTTAGTGTAGATGTTAAGAATTCAGGTTCTATCATAGTCTTAAAGACAGCATTTCCCAGTTTGACTGAAAAAAATAACCTTGCAGATGTAACTCCAAACTACTGAAGATGTTTTTATTAAAGCCGAAATACCTTTTTTTTTTTTTACATAATTGCTAAAACATGTTTAAATGGATCTCCACTGAGGTGACACGTGGGTGAATTTATAAATGCACGACAGGTCTGCCAAATGGGTCATAGGGTTAAAGTGCTTGAAGTAAAAGATAAATGGATATGCGTGCCAGCTGAGATCATTTCCTGCCATTTGAACCTATAGGGAGTCTTTGGACAGCACATACCATTTTGCTACCATTAAGAAAGCATTAGTCTTCACTGCCTCCATTATGTTAAAATTCTTACTGAATGTTAAATCCATGGAGGAAGTCTTTGCATGCATATACTTGTCAGTCATTATTATGTACAATTTTGAACATCGAGGACATGCTAATTTTTTTTTTTTTTTTTATAAACCTGTCCTGCCCTGCAGCCGGGTATAGAGAATGACGAGCTGGATACCATATTGTGCCAGACAGATTTTACTTTAACAAGAGAGTATTAATATACTCCTTTGTCTGTTTTATTATTTATTTAATTATGTATTGATTTGTCACCGGGCCGGACAGGGGGGCAGACATGGCGATGGGGGGGCACAAACAGATAGCACAGAGAAAGGACAAGACCTGTAAGAGAAGGGGGATGGAAGGTGTGGACAACAGGGAATAGCAGAGGGAAACACCAATTGCAGAAAGCAACGAAACCTGCAATAGAACAGAGAGGGGGACTTGGGGAGGAGAAAAACAACAACAAACAAACAAACAATAAAAATAATAATAGTAAAAGACAACCAGCTGAACAGCAGCAATAAACAGCTAAGATAACTAAGAGAAAAATGAAAACAAGAAACAGTCATGCACACTAAATAAGCAACACAGCACAGCCACGAGAGCTGGAATAATAACAATTAATTTAAATAAGTAACTGAAAGAAAAGCATCAGGTATAATTCTACCAGGCACAACTTAAATTTGTTTGTGTCTATGTGTGAGACTGTATGTGTCTGTGTGCGTGTGCGTGTGCGTGTGGGTGAATGTGTGTGAGTACGTGTGTGCGCATAAGCCTGTTAAAGAATGTATTTGTTAGTGAGAGTGGGATGCCACGACTGTGCCACACCTACCCCAGCTACAGGCAGGCAAGAACCCCAGTAGCCAGTAGGGTTGGGAGAAGAAAAAAAAAACAAAACAAACAAACAAACCAAAAAAAAAACGACCATCCAAATGCCAGTTGACAACGCAATGCCGACGGAACGCAAGAAGCGTAACCCGCAGAAGAGCAGCGCCCGGACATCCCCCATGCACAGCACGCCCCCAGGCCACCGTGCAACACCAGCCAAAATCAACCAGCTCAGCTGCATGCCACCACAAACCCACCCACGCGTCCTCACTGGGACCAGATTCCTGACTGGCCCCATCATTCAGTCCCGTCCCCCACCCCCCTAAGCAGGAGGACGCCAGGTCCCTCCAGCCCAGGGCTTATAGCAAGAGCCCCTCTAGCACCGGCAGCACCCCAGAGTCAGCAACAACCAGGGGGGCCCAGCCCCCCCAGTGCGCAGACCAGCCCCAAACCCAGAGGCTCCAAAACCCAGACCCCCACACACCCCCGAGGCAGGTCAGCGCAGCCCCAACCCAAAGTCCAACAATCCCCTGCCCTCGCCGGGGCCCCTCCGGCAGCCCCACTGCCACCCTCCCACCACACCGTTCCCACACAATCAGGAGCACTCCGAGCACCACCAGGTTATCGGAGCTGGCACATTGCATTGCACTACAATAGCCCTGCAATTTCCTCTTCTTCACCTCAGTTCAACCAGATTTAAACCTTGCAAGAGATTGTTCACATTATTGTGAAGTATTTGTTAGGGGGAGGAGCTGGATCTATTTTTTTTAGGTTTTAAAATTGAGTGAAAAAATGTTTGTAAATAATTAAGCACACAGTAAGAACTAAAGGAGCTATTGTAAAAGCCAGGTGTCTATTATTGCCAAATAGTGAACTAAGAAAAATATCAAAGGCACGAGAGGAGGAACTGTGCGAGAAACAAATATTATTAATCACAAAACGTAAATAGAATATATGCAATAACACTTAAAGTATGCATACTGTACATTCAAATATGTTACTGACACACACACACACACAATAATTTATTAAAGGCTTAATATTATTGCAAACCACTTGAGCTGGCTGGCTCAGGATGATGGACACTGGACTACATAATGTTTCCATGACTGTGGTTGAAAGCCTGGAATTCTGAGAAATTTGAACTCATTTGGTCGTACTTTACTTCCCTTGCAAACTGATGGCTCTGAAATATCCCTGACTACAGAGGCAGCCCTGCGCTCAGCCTTCACCCAAATATTTTTCTCACTAATTAGCCGGTATAAAATTTTGTACACAACTTTTAATGCTGGATTAGGACTTGTAAACCTCTTACAGACTTCTCGACAAACGTCCCACTGACACAACAGGAAGTTTGAAACTGAGTTGTGCGTGTACGTGCATCTGTGTGTATGTATCTGTATGTATGTAGCTGCAACCTCACTGAAGAAAACCAAATGTGACCCACTGGGCAACTGTTCTGTTTTAACAGCGCCCTCACTAAACTTAATAGCTGACCTTTATTCTGAAGGTAAAGCTCCATTCATCCGGCAACAGTGAGTCCTACCTGGAGCGGTTATCACGTCTGGAGGGAGACAAAGAGTCACTAATTCTGCAGGTGAGATTAGTCACTGCTAATATACAAAACACAAAACAATTATTATTAATTATCTCTGTCTCTTTTTGCACAAGATGTATGTGAGCTATAAAAAGGTTGTTCCAGTTGCAACACATTTAACTTAAGCATGACTGGACATCCATTCATAAAGGTTTAATCAATTCCATTGGATATGAGCCTGCTCAAATAAAAGAGGACATATGACACCACACACTATTAGTGGGAACTGATTCTAAACAGTGCCCATATCAAATCACAGTGTAAGAGGAGATAGATGAGGAAAGGAACGAGAAAGGGGCAAAGGTAGATCAGAGCATTGTGTTGTAAATGTTTGCGTAACTGTTATATTTCTGTTCCACTGCACGGATGAAGCAACAGTTATAAAGCTGGGTTTGGTTACAACACTAGAATGTCTTGTTTTGTGTGACATGTTTGTCTATGTGTGTAGGTGTGGGTAGTTATCAGGACTGCTGAACAAGTGTTGGTCTCAGACAGGTTGAGGCTAGCACAACAATATGCTGTAACACGTAGGTGTGTGTGTAACAGCAGGTGTCCTGTTTATTTCTTCAGACCTCACATAAAACAGGAAAAACTGCTCCAGTTGGCTGCTCGGACCAGCCTTTTAGCATGTGATTAGCTATTATGTGGCCTTAATAGTTTTTCTCTGCAGATTTACATTTAACCTGCTTTCTGCTGACATTGCTGGAGTCACTCAAGTGTTGCAAGCACCTACAGAGGCTGAAAGGATCATTAATTTCTTCTCAAAGGAAACATTTGCACTGTTTGATCTGGCACAGACATAGACATTTCTGAAACTCTGTAGTAATTTTGGCTGGGCTGCAATTATGTGATAAAATGTGAAACTAAATGATAGTGAAAACAGTTTTATTGGCAAGTTTTGGTGAAGAAATAAGATTCTTATCTGTACCAACTTTCTGTCCACATACAAAAAACACAGGTCAGTGTGCTGACAGACCAGGTGGAGGCTCAGGGGGCCAAGATCAACGATCTAGAGAGTTCTCTGGTTGAGCATCAGCACAAACTCGACTCCACGGAGGAGATGCTACAGCAGGTACACAGCTTTACAGACCTCAAATCGACAGCTTACATTGGACTTCCTCAATACCAAATGCTTAATGTATTACTGGACCAAAATCAGGAAACTCTGACTGTCCATCTACCTTTTAAATATGACTCTTCTGCAGATCCAATCTTTTCTCATAAGCTGCAGAATTTAAACCAGGATGAGTTCTGCTTCTTGGGAAGAAATTCCTTGCTTAGATTTCAGTGTATCTGTCTGCAGATTACCTTCATAAGCAAAATATTTAGGACACTCCTTAAGCATATTTCTGGTTTATGCAAGGGCAGATTGGTCTGTCTGGGCAGGTGATTACACCACCATAAGCCATGGACTGAGTCCCTGCATGCTCACACACACATAAACGGAGAGAGGACAACAGAGGAAAGGAGAGAGGGACAAATGACTAAGGGAGAAACAGCTAAAATAGGTGGAGAGATGGGAGGGAGAAAGAATAGGGGTGGTGCTCTACTAAGGGTTAGTAGCGCATGTCTCCAACTTTTTTTGCTTTTGACTTCAAATCTACAACAGAGATTCTGCTCAACACTACAAAAGACACTCAATGGAATGGATGTATGAAACTTTAATCTACAGAAACTACAAGACACTTGAAACCATTGCATTCATGAGGGAAATACTCTTACTCCTGCTTTACTGCAGGCAGACGTTGGAGTAAGTTGAACCAGGTATTGCACAGAATAAATGTATCTCATTCTTATAATGCTGCTCAAGTGCACTGTTTCAACCTTTGCTGTCTAATTTCATAAGTGCCAGGAATGTGTCTTACTGCTATCTGATGAGTTGTGAACTTAATGCTCAGTGTCTACCTCTATGTGCAGTACTGTATGTGTGCAGTGTATCAAAGGGCAGCCAGGGCTGGTTTCTTGGAGACATGGTCATTATGAGGCTTTGGACCTGAGCCGTAAATCTCTTCCTGGTGACAAAGCTCTAATATTTTCCATGCGCACTCTACAAGAAGCCCAGATATTTTCCGAAGCCAGAGTTTTAAATGGATGCATCCATATGTACTGTTTGCCTGCCTTGGACGCTCATTTCTGGATTTTAAGTGATTTAGCACCTGCTTGACATCAACCAAATTAGTAATACATCTGCCTGCATAGCCTGGCTTAACTCCCAAGGCTGACAGCCATTCAGGACAGATCCTCACAGAGGTGTATAGCAGACCCATAGTCTCCCTTAGCACCAGGTTTGATTGGCTACATTTCACAATGACAGGAAAATGCACCTGTCAAAGTTATTTTAATGTTCTTTCTATGAATGTTTTGCATGCTTTTGGTACCTCTCTCTCTCTCTCACTCCCCCCCGTCTGCTGTGCACTTTGAGTGAGCTGTGAAATAGGCATTATAAATAGTGGTCATGGGTTGTGTATATTTAGCCGCTCAAACTGCGTCTGAAACCAAGGGTTTGTCTGAGGGGACTGTCATTACAGAACTGGAAGCTTGCTGTGCCTCGTACTTAATGTTGCCTTTGTTCAGTAAGTATTGAGTGTTGTGTGTCATTGAAGGGATAATGGATTTATGTATGTTTATATTTTCCTGCACGCCTATTTGTGTTGCTTCAAGCTCTTGCTGTATGTTGTTGATGACAGGAGCTCCTGCATAGGACGTCACTGGAGAGCCAGAAGCTGAGTCTTATGGGGGAGGTGTCCTACCTGAAATTAAAGCTCACAGACATGGAGGGAAAACACAGCCATGGGGCTGAAAGGCAGCACAAAGCAGAGGTAGGGCTTCTCAAGTAGTTAAATATGCCTACTCCTTGTGGTCAGAAGTACAGTATGTAGGTATGGTTATGTTGTTTGTCAGAACTTATTTCTAGCTATCAAAACAAGGTTGCTTTGTTGAGTAGAACGAGTTGGACTTGATTTACTTGCTTTTATTTAATAAGCAGCACAATTTCCTAAGTTTGACCTTAAAGGTTTGTTTGACTGAGGACTGTTAGCAAGGAGGAATTAGTTTAGCTAAAATCCTCAGGAACTTCTGTTTTACTTCAACGCTTGGAAATACTCTGCCAGGAATGACGAGGGTACACACAAAAATCTGCCTTGTGTTCTGATGGATCTAACCTTGAAGTCAGCTGCTGATTTTATGGAAGACCATAAACACTTTCTGGAAGGATGGAGGGGAACATTCACCCAAACCCTGGCTCTGTTGTTCCTGGGCAAAGTCTACAGGAAAAAAAGTCTCCAAGGTTTTTTTTTTGTCAGTTAGAACTGAATCATGTATTTGCTTAAGACCAATGTGTTAGATTACCAGCAGACATCCTGGGCATTTAGTGACCATATGAATTGGAGAAAGGGAAAGCAGCACTTCTACCAGACAGGATACTGTAATGTATGTAGTTACTGTCAAAACACTGCTGGTCAAAGAGCCTTTATGTCCTCAGGTTAAAAGAGTTCAGGCATAGCAGAGCTGGCATGATGGATGGCGGGCCAAATATGAGTGTGTGTAGGCTTCAGCCCAGAGAATTTTGTTCTCGGTGGTGGGTAAAGATTGACTGGGCCATTCTGAAAAAAGGAACCTCGTCCTAAATGGAGGCATGATCCCAAAAACATTTGACACTGATAAAGTAAATGAAAATATATACATAAAAAATATATATAAAAATATAATTATATTTAAATATGTTTATAGGGATTTAATTTGTATGTCTAAGCAGAAATAAATAGCATACTTTAGATGTGTATTAGTAGACAGGAGTGTTTCAGCACTTCTTAATCCTGCTTTCATGCACAAACAAAGTCTCCCTACAACAGCTGTTTGGACTTAAGGAGAATAGGGGGAAAAAATCAGCTTTGAACACTTTAATGGCCTCCTGCGTGCTGCCTCTACTACACAAACATGTCCACACACACAACATGTGAAAGCCTTCTTGCTGCGGAGCCAGTAAACTCATAGTTAAATTTAGCCATGGAGGCACTCAATATCATCTGTCATATCCGCTGTACCGGACCCCAAGTGAGACTTCCTCTGTCCACAGTCCGAGCATAACTCGGCTGCTATTTACACTCTTTCTGAAGGAACATGGGCACGGATCACCTCATGAAGATGGCAAACCCACTCACCCCTCTTGTAATTTATCAGTGCAAACTACCCATTTGATAAACTGGATAAGCATGAATTCAGGAATGTGGCATGGCATAATGTTAATACAGTTATAGTTAAAGCAAGCAGGAAGTTCAGGTTCACGAACAAATACAAAACAATGTGTGTTCACACAGACCTGATGTGGCTAACTGGCCCAGTGTGTCTGAGTATGGGGACCAGCCAAAGATTTGTGTTTCTAATACAGACTCACTATTATCTTCATGTATTCAAGCGCAAGACCAACTCTACATTTTCTTAGGATTTATAATGTGAGATTATGTACACATGAGGTAGAGGAAAAAACTGATTTGAACGGTCACTTTTATAACAGTGCTTTCACACACAAACACAGAGATATACTGTACATCTACTGGACAGAATTTCCTCGTCTCTTTCTAAACATTTCTCACTTCTTTCTCTCCCACTGCGTCTGTCAGACTGTAGTGAACTTCATTAGTGAGCTGCAGGAGCAGATGTGTAGGTTTCAGAAGGAAATCAATAGCAAGATCCAGGAGAAAAAAGCCTTGGAGATCCCGGCTGACGGCAGCTCTCCAGTGGCGTGTCTCTCTGAGTCCACTGAGGGCCAGGGCTCAGACCTTGGGCCGTCCTGTGACAGAACCTCAGGGGTGATGCACAAACTAGAAGAGGCTACACATGGGCCTGATGGGAACACACACAGCCTGGAAGAGGGTAGCTCAGATGCAGAGCAGCAGTACCACTGTGGAGGAGAACGTGTAGGCACAGCTTGCCTGCATGAATTCTAATGTTGTGTACAGCATGGGCTGTCTCACTTAGTGTGTGTGATCCTTAGGTTCAGATGCAAAAGAAACTCACCAAAATATTCCCAGCAGTGCTTGATGTCACTGTGAAACTTGCTAAAGCTAAATGTATTTACCTGTTATGCATCAGTATGTGACACGACTAATAGCTTCATTTCATGTCATTTAATATTGTGTGCTATGAAAGAGCAATGTGCAGATTTACTAACATCACCTAAATATTTAAACTAGCTAAATGTTCTCATGTGTTCTGTTTTAGGGCTTACTTAAGGAGCTCAGGATCCTCAAGGACAAAGTGGAGCACCTGGAGGATCAGAAGCTACAGTATGAGAAGAAACTCAAAGCAACAAAGGTAAAAGAAAGTTCTGAATTTCATGCTGTCTAGACTTTGATATACACCATTGGTGCCCAAATTCCACTGCTAACTGTCTACTCAACTTTCCTAAATGCTGTCCAATCCGAGGTTCCAGCCAGTTAAGTGAGTCATCCTCTTTTACTCACACACCTATGTTTTCTTAAGAAGTCTGAGAACTATTTTACCTTCTATTTTAAAGCAGTGTAGAAATAGATGGTGGCTTAGTCCTTTTTAAATGTCCTACTTGTATACTTTGGCATGATCCCATGGCATTAACTTCTTAGGGAGTAGATTATCTCTCACATTATTTCATTATTATTTCTCTGTCTTTCTAGCTGTCTTTCCCACTTGGTACAATGGCTGTCTGTATCTGTGCAGAAGACATATTTCATAGTGCTGTTTTTCTTCCACTTGCCCTCTCCAACAGTAGTTTCATTGTAAATAACACATCTGCTACTTCACTTTTGATTCCATGTGCTTACAACACAACACACTTACTCCTAAGTAAGTGTTGCATGGTCAATCTACAGTCACAACAAGATTGGCATTAGGGTCACATAGGAGGAAGTGTAAAATGATGCAATTATCCACATACCTCAATCACTTGAATAGTTCTTAAAGGATTGCATAATAGGCCTGTATAATTCAAAGTCATATTACCATCCGCGGATCTTTATTTTTACTTTTTAGAAGTTCATCAAACATTGTATTGGCATTTCTCCATTAACTAGATGTTTACCCAGAATTGCAAAATGAACAAATAGTATATTTCACAGAAATATCTTCCCTGTTATGGAGCTTTGGTTACTGGTAGCAGATTGCTATATAAATATTGTTTTAATCAATCTAGGAAAATCTTAATGCACACTAGAATAATTGGTAACATATGTTCATAAGGCAGATACAAACCGGTGGGGAATAATGTTTGGATAAAGTAAAACAGGGATGTGATGTGGTATAAGAGGCAAAAAGTGTATTTTCCACATGGGGGGGGGGGTATCTGCCTGAACTTAACTTTACTGCCATCTGTTTTTTCCTTATACTCTGCAACTTACTTCAAAACAAACTATAAACTCTGTTTCTCTAAAATTCAGGAAAAACATTTCTGCGCTTTGTTGTGGGTTTTATATATAGGTAATCGTGGGGGGAAAATCAATATCTTATAAAACATGGGTTTCAAGTGAGGATGTGTGCAGGCACTTTGAATTAAGATGCATGTACATGTCTTGTTTTGAGCTTTTAGCAGTGCGTGTTTAAACAGACGCGTTGGCACATACAGGTTATTTTTGCTAAGATTACTCTCTGTGTGGCACCCACAGGCAGAGATCAGCAGCCTTCAGCAGCTTCTGCTCAGTAAGAACGCTGAGATCGAGAGCTTGCACACTCAGCTGCTGGCCAGACCTTCTCTATCCCCCGAGAGCTCAGAGAGAGGTAAGCAAAGCACCTAGCTTCAAGCCCTCGACAAATCTGCCAGCAACAGTCTTTCACTCTGACAAAGTTACCCAGCCTGATAGTAGACACAGTTAATGACTCCTTTTTGCATTCATTAACTTGCAGTAACAGCTGTGGGAAAAGCCTGTATTGGCCCTTTATAAACTGTCTCATCATGGGTCTCTGTCTCTCTCTCTCAGAGATGTACAGGAAGAGGCTAAACACCAAATGTAAGCTTGAACAATACTTAATGAAAATAACTTTAAACCCATGGGCCATGTCTGCTTTTGATCTTTCATTTATTTCCTTTCTCCAGACATGTCTCTTTATTTTATTATCTTTTGTTTCCTTCTACTCTGAGGGGCAGCTCTGACAATCACCAACTGGTTTCCAAAATTACTTGATGCATTATCTCTCTTCCCTTCGGCTTCTCCGTCGTATTTATGGATCCCTGAAAGCATAATGTCTTGTTTGTTCTTAATTTTGTCTGTCATAGATAAACACTTCTCTGGGGTACTTGCTTAGTACTCACTGTCACTGAGCAGCAATTCTGCCTGTATGCCCACAGTTGTTACAAAGCAAGTGTCTATGAACTGTGGGCCCAAATACGTAATAGCTGACATGGCTAAAGCTATGATTGGTGGATTTAAAAAAGGGTTGGATGAAACTAAAAATACATGATTTATATGGCACTCTCGTGAGGGATATATTAAACTATCATGTATCTTTGCCTTTCCTTTCCTTCTAAATAACCAAATGCCGCTACATGTCTATACAGAATGCTAATTTATATGACATGAACAGCTGCCCATACATATTAATAATCAGTGTGGGGTTTCTCTTCATAGATCAGGAACTGCAGAAGCTTAGGAGTGGAATGAAATCACTGGTAGCTGCCAATGATGAAAAGGTAAGTTGCCAGTGATCTGGAACCCTATGCTTTCCCTTTCTGGTCAACACAGCTGTATGTGATTATGCAGTACATAGCAGCATGTGTGTTGTCATCAGTTTACCACAATGTAAAGTGTCCTATTGGCCTGTATATAGTGCTATCATCGCTGCTGTTTAAAAGGTTAGAAGGTAACTGTTTTTAGATGTTATAATTTCTCAGAGGCGCCGCCCTCTAACCATTAATAGTACAGAGGGGCTTTTGTACTCTCCATCCCAAAGAATCGTTGACTTTAAAGACTTTCAGACGCAGGCCTACATGTCGCACACTACTGAAGACACACACGTACACACACCCCAAGGCGAGCCATTTCAGGCAAAGCCACACTTAAGTAGGCCTCGACCTGCCAAGCCTAATTTTGGAGTGAGCTGCATTAAGAGCACCATGGCAAAACCAGGCATGGGCACCACTTCAAAAAACACATACTCCACACAGCTGGTTACCACAACTAAGATTTCCAGCCAGGCCTGTGTCAATCCCCTCCCTATCCCCTACTTTGATGTAAAGGCCATATGGTGAAAAAGAGACGTTTGAGTGGCATATCGGTCAATGACAGAGTGAAGCACAGTCCATATGTGTGTTTCCTAACCTTAGATAAACATCTTAATTGAGTTATGTTAGCCTTGAACCCCCTTCTCTGTTTTCCTCAGGACCGACGTATTGAAGAGCTCACTCTACTCCTGAATCAGTGCAGGCAATTCAGAGAAGTCACTCACACCACAAGGCAAGGTAATCAGCTTATTTACTCCTTTATACTTTCCTTGTGGCATTTGTAATTATGTTAGCAGCAGCATTTGAGCATAAGGAACGCCAACACACTTCCTGCCTTAAAAATAATGCATGCCACTGATTAAGCTGAGAGAAAATAATTCTCCTCTTTGTTACTGTAGCTCCACCTGCTGTTCGCTCGCTGTCAAATGGCAGGACTCCGTCAAGCAGCAGTGAGGAAGAAGAGCATGGACTGATTAAGAGCACTGACTCTGCCAGTGCAAAATCTGAGGACGTCAAGTCTGAAGTGGGTAAAAAAGATTTCAGCTGGTCTCATAACTAGCTAAAGTTTTTTCTCTAAATATATATTCTTACCTACCACAGGTATCACAGGTTTCCACAAACAGCTCTTCCTCCCAACAAACATCCATTTCATCAGTCCAGAAGGACAGTGATTCCAGGTAGTGAAGAAGCTTTTCAGTGGAGGACGCCAATATTTCCTAGTTGGATTTTACTGAGATGATTGTGCTTTTATGTTCTCAGAACAGAACAGCAGGTGTTATCAAGTAGCATGAATGACCTAACAAATGGACCTTTACAAAAGGTATTTTTAAATATACACATCTAATATGCTAACAATTCAAGTCATTTATCTTTCTATACATATATACAATAAACATTTTCTTCAGTACAAGCTAATGTACTGTTTCTTACATGATTGATGCAGAAGAGAACTCAATTTTCTCATTTGTATGAACATTACAGTGTTTTTTACATGTATAACAGTAGAGTATATATTTACAGTTGTTTGAATTTTTTAGCTGATTTGAGCACGTTTTTGCTGTCTTTTCTATTTGTACCTGCGTGTGGTTTATCTAGAGTGGTCCGGGTGACAGAAGTCAGACGCTGCCTGTGAATTCCTCTCTGTCAGAGCAGAATGGGATCGGAGACAGTGGTAGTGAAATCCAGAGTAAAAGGTCTCCAGAAGGGAACGAAGACGGAGACTCCAATCAAAGTAAATCCTACAGAGGATGTTATTTATGATATGATGGATAGTGTGCAGTAATAATCCCTGATATTGGATTAGACTTTTTCTTGTTCTGTAGAATCGTCGTGCGGCCAGTTATTCCCATAAGCAATGGCGGTTTTCATATTTGGAGCAAACGACTCTCTTTTGAACAGACAGCCACTGTACCTTTGATCACAGCTAATTGCAGAGGTTCCTGACAGAGCAGATGGATCATGGGATATACTTTTTTACCAAACACACCCTCTCTCTTGCTTCTGATTGACCACATTCATCCCAGCTCCACCCTTCCTCAACTTCACTGACCAGTTTTAACTTGAGCCCCACCCTGATTTCTCTCGGCTGTGTCGTGCTGTAGCGTGGTGACTGACTGCTGCATATTATTAAGTTTTACTTAAACCCCTTCTTTTTCATGGGACATTAATTGCTGAACTCAGTGGACTGTAACCTGTGCTGCTGGAGCACTGTGAAAAGGCAGACCACCACATGTGCGCTACTTACCTCTTAATGTTCTGTTTGGTATGCAATGAGGTAAAAAAAAAAAAAAAAGGTTTTCTTTTCTACCGCTTTCTACTCAATCATCATCATCAAGATGTTAAGAATGGCTCAACTACAGGAAACTATATTTTTAGACAGTCTAAGCTTTTCAAATAGCCCCATTGAAATGCTTTTTATTTTGGCAAGATTACAGTTAGGCTATGTCTGCTCTAATTAGCACTAGCTAGATAGTTAGATAGCTAGATAGCTAAGTAAACCACTATTTTCAACTAATCAAATGTGTCGATAAAATGTTGCATCTAAGTAGCCCCCTACAATAAATGCCTTTGAACCATATTTGTGCTTAGTAGTTTTACACTGACTGTGGTTTTTTGTGTCCTCTTAAAGGAAAGTTGGAGAAAGTTGGTGACAGCACATCAAGCGATAATTCCCCTGTTCATTCTGGAGCTAACACACAGCCTGGCCAGCGAGTTGTGGGCTCACCAGAGTACATGAAGAATAACAGGAGCTTCAAGAGACTCTGGGGAAAGTGAGTGTGTGAAAATACACTGATACATCAACAATACACCAACCAAGATGATGATGACTGCCAAAAAAGGACAAACAAACATTAAATAGACCTAACTATTTATGTACTGTAAATGTAAATAATTATTTATATTTATCAACAAAAAATGAACATATTGTATACTGATTGTGCCAATTGTATTATGATTTTACTTTAAGAATGAAAGTAGTTTCTAGCATGTTTATCCAAATGAGTTATTCTCATCCATACAGACTTCGAAGAACCCAGTCTGGAGGACTTCAGGGAGCGGATCCAGATACCGGTCAGTTTAGAAGAGGGGGACTTCGTGCGACAGCAGGACCCAGACTGACTCGGACCCCTGAATCTTATGACTCTACACGGTAACTCAGTGTGCCTCTACCACACTTTGTAAGACAGTACTCTAAGTGTTTGATGACCATTTGAAATACTTCATACACAATAAGCCAATTAATTAATTATCTGATTTGTCCTTTTTTAATTTTAGTGATATGAATATTCCATTCAGCCAGTGGACCAAGGAGCAGGTGTGTGGCTGGCTAGAGGACTATGGACTGGGCCAGTATGTCAATCTCACCAGACAGTGGGTTGAAAATGGACAAACTCTACTGTCTGCCACACCTCAGGACTTCGAGAAGGTCAGAAAATTAAACAGCACAGTTAATGCCACTTTACACTACACTACAAAAACATCTTGAATGTACAACTCTGTGATTATGCATTTATAAATAACTGATATACAATATTTAAGTATAAGATCAGAGAAAAAAATATTCATTGATAAATTGGAAATTTAACAAAGTTTATCAGGCTAAATTTAATTGCATGGTGAGGGGGTAAACCACCAATTTTACCTCAAGCTTTAGTTTTATTGTGACAAACAGTCCTGTCTGACCTCAGGAGATGGGCATGAAGAATCCACTGCACAGGAAGAAGCTGCAGCTCGCCCTGAGCGCATTCACCACTAAAGTTATAGAGAAATCGTCAGAGCTGGACTACATCTGGGTCACTCGTAAGTCTGACTCATTCTACATAGAATGTTTTAAACTTCTCATGCTGCATGTTCTCATTTGAATCTGATCTACAAATGGGGAGTGGGACATTCATGCCACAAACCAAACAAAGAAATGTAATGTGTGAGTAAATATAGCCAGCATTCAAAACCAGGAATTGTATCCTAACTGAGCAGTGAACCTGTATTGCTGACAGCTAGTGAGTGAAGTGAATTAATGTCTGACTTTCACCCATTTAGGCTGGTTGGATGATATTGGTTTGCCTCAGTATAAAGACCAATTCCATGAAGCTCGAGTAGATGGTCGAATGATACAATACCTCACAGTGGTAAGACTTAAGCCTACATGTTATGTTAAAGTGGAGGCCTGCAAATACATCTATTTACATTTACATACAAAAAAAATCCCAAAAATAAAACGTTCACGTTGGCGTGTGTAATTACATTAACCCAAAATCACAATGTTTTCCTAAACCTAACCAAGTAGTTTTGTTGCCTAAACCTAACCAAACTGCAGCCGTTTCACAGCGTTAACCACGGGTTAAATGTCACGTGCCGTAAGAAGTTCAGGTCTGGTACGCCTGTCGCTGGACTGGTACAGGAAACCCTGTAATTGTGTCAGTTTTGGAGGCAATGACAAACAACCTGTTTTGTCGTAGGTATGAGGAAATGTTGGTATCAGCCAGTATCAGCAAATCATTAGTATTACATTCTAAATTCCTATTGTGAATAAAAAAATACTAAGATATTGCTGATGTTCACAACATACATATTTAACCAAGGGGACAATCTTTTCGATTATTAGAGTACATTTAAATGGTTAATTATTAAAAAGGATTGTAAGGTTAATGTAAGGTTACTTAGACTAGCCGCCATAACTGGTCCTGACTTCCCTGGGGCCCTAAGCAAAATTCTGCTAAGAGGCCCTCCTACCTGACCCGTGACCCGTATAAACCATTTGCCTTTGCTGCAAAGACCTGACACCCCAGTGCTTCCAGTACAATCCTCACTCCTTTAAAACAGTTAGCTCATCTATTGTTCTAAAAATAAGTAGACCAATACAGAACAGAATGTGGTTTAAACAACAATATTTATTAAATAAGATAAGTGAATAGAACTAATATTACAGCCTGTACTGGTTAATGATCATGCATCTCCTCTACTTGCAAATTACAGATAACAATACTGTTATTAATTTTATCAGCTGCATTGGGCCTATTCAAACTGGTTCCCCCTGATTTCCTTTCATACATTTTCAAATATAAAATACTATTTTATTCTCTGGCCTGGCTGAATGCTTGATAGTTATTATTTACTGAGATGTGTACTGTGTACATGTGAGAACCGCCCCACTTTAAGCACTGAATAAAACAATGGTATGGATTTGTAGACTTTTCCCTGATGTTCATGGATGTTCTTTTACTGTTCACCCAGAATGACCTCTTGACTCTAAAGGTCACCAGTCAGCTTCATCATCTCAGTATTAAATGTGCCATCCATGTCCTTCATGCCAACAAGTTCAACCCCAACTGTCTTCGACGTAGGCCAGGGGAAGAGGTAATTGTGGATTATGCCAGGTATTGTATGTAGCAGTTGTTTAATGTTTAATGTTATGGTACATTTTGTGTGTACATTTGACACTCAGAGCTGAGAGAATATAACACATAACAGACATTTAAACACAATGGCATATTTATGGGAAGTGTTTTACTTAGATATGGTGTTAGATAAAAGTGTTGGGTTTGGGTAAAAGGTGACAGCACATCAGTTGCCCACAAGATGGCAATAGACAGACAGTAAATGCTTTCAAACACTAATTTCTTTCATACGGTTGCTTCCAAATTCCTGTCCACTTTTAGTAATTTTAGAAGAATTGAAATGAGTGAGAAGTGGGTATAATGTCATTTCATATTGATATTTTTAACTTCTTCAGAGACAGCCCTCTCCTTCAGAGGTGGTGCAGTGGTCTAACCACCGTGTGATGGAGTGGCTTAGAGCAGTGGATCTAGCTGAGTACGCTCCTAATCTACGTGGCAGCGGCGTTCATGGTGGGCTGATTGTAAGTACTGTAAATTTTTATTTTTTTTTTTTATTTTCAAGTCATATTGGCATTAAATGCTTACATCACATACCTAAAGTCCTAAATGTGTTGTTGCCATCTGCTGGCAATATACTCTTCTGTAGATCTTGGAGCCTCGCTTCAGCTCAGAGACATTGGCCCTGCTGCTAAATATTCCTCCACAGAAGACTTTGCTCCGCCGCCACCTCGCCACTGCCTTCTCTGCCCTGGTCGGGACTCAGGCCACACAAGAGAAGCGAGAGTATGGCAATGCCACAGGCCATGTGCCCCTCACCACCACTGCTAAAGTAAAGGTAACAGCACAATCTAAGCATCAAAATGTTCTGTGATTTTTGCAGCATAAACTGCAAAAATTGTTTATTAATAGGTTTGACTTTTTTGTGTTTTCAGCCGAAGAAGCTGGGATTCACCCAATTCAGTCACCTCAGAAAGAGGAAACCTGATGAGGACTATATCTGCCCAATTGACAGCGGAGCACTGACAGTGAATGGGATTTCTCGCATGCCCTCTACAGCACTTAGGGGCCTCAGCCCCAGCTTGGACAGACAGACTGAGAGGCGGGAGCAGGTGGGGATAAAAGCTCAGGCTAATGGCCCAAAATAATAATTTAAAAAATACAGTAGGAAACTTCACCCTCTCCACCACACTCACCTCTCACCCATTAAGTGACCTTGTGATTCAGTGAAAGATTCTAATGCAGAAATGTACCCAAGATGAATCAATGTGGTGATTTGCTGGATGGGCTGCAAAGATTCTGTATTTCACAGGTGATCTTAATTGTTGTTGGATATTCTTAACCAAATGTTGCTTAAACAATATTCATCTAAAATGGTAATAAATAGTGACACTGTGTGAATTGTTTTATGAAAGCTGCTCTCTGCATTCCTTATACAGTTGGATTCCAAAGCTTACACTTTTGGTTTAAGACAATGCATTTTACTGACCATTTTGTATCTAAATGTCTGTAGAATTAGTTAGGATACTGATGACCTTGTCTTCTTATATCTAGACTGACTGTACAGGATAATAATTGTCACCAGTTACTTTAAAGGCATATTTCGGGTTTTCTGAAGTGTGACTGTATGAGGTACTTCATAGTTAGTGTATTACTGGCAGGAGATGGCAGTTGGCATGTCCCCAGTTTGGAGCAGCAGAAAGTTGTACCGGCACAGAAGCTACAAGAGATGTACTGCTGTGGACAGGGTCAGCTGCAAAATGTATTTTAGCCACCTAAAAGAAGGCCTACCAAAAAACATAAATTTCACTTCAAGTGTACTCTAGATTTAGAATGTTTTCACGCTACCCTGACTATGGTTAAGTACCTCATCCAGCTCACTTCAAAAATTCTAACCTATCGTTTTATGAATGTTTCTCATTCATTTTCTGTATGACTGACAAGAAAATCAAAAATTTTATCATTTTGATTCTTGACAGTACTCTTCTGCACCTGTAAATGAGGCTTGTTGGTACACCCTAGGATTCTCCTCCTCCAGATGTTGCCTTGTTTGATGAGATCATTGTGAATATGCAGTAACATAATAAACATTGGGTCAACAGTTAGTCTCGTTGGAATTCTTTGAGAAGAAGAAGAAAAAAAAGACCACTATATACTAATTATGCTGCGTTCTAAATCCGCATACCTACTGCAGCTGCCCTTACAAAGTGCATACTGTTGCATGCAGTATACATACAATTGGGACATACTACTTTTTCATAACGTTGTGCGTTGAAATTTGACCGTCTTGCTCATACTCATGCTGCGCCGAGGATTGTGGGGCAGAATAGTCAGGAAAGAAGGCTGGCTTGTGAACTGCAAAATGCGACCAGGTGTATTAGGCATTTGACATACGATGTACATGGACATACTAAATATTTTTCTGGAATACTAAATAGTATGGTAGTATGGGTATTGGAATGCACAGGTAGTCATTAAAACAAATACTTTTGCTACGTGGTGGTTAAATGCTTATTGCTGTTTCTGAAGAGCTTGATCATATTTAAAGTTTAGATAAATTATAGCACATTGTATCTATATGTTGAGACTTTTTAATTGCAAATTATTAGCATTGTAACAGTATTATTTGATAACTTCCTAAGGAAGTAATAATCTTAGGATCTTCGATCTTAGGATCTTGAATGGGTAGTTGATCCAAGACTGCCCACTACTGGTGAAACAATAAAAATGCAAGAACGCTTGTTGATTGTACAGGAGGTTTGGTCCGTTCCAGTCCAGGCTATTTAAAGTGGAAGAGCCTGAATAGCTGCTCTCATTTAACTGACAAGACTGAAATGGATCCTGGCTTGATTTGGTTGATGAGTTAATCAAAAATAAATGAATCCAACAGTCAATGATCCTATTGTTGGTGAATCTAGACAGCTTTCATTTAAATTTGTTTTCCCACAATTGACAAATGTGTGTATAGTAAAGAAAGCAATTGCCAAATTCACCAAAGGATAATCTGGTGATTAGGTGCATTTCCTGTTTATATAGAGGCATTCTAGACAGTCATGGCCCACAAATGTTGATTAGCCCAAATAGATTTTCTGTGGTTTGTTTAGATAATCAAATGGTTGTAACACTATATCCAGAACCATTTATAACAATATCTGACTATCTCAGAATAAGACAAACAAAAATGATGGACCATAAGACAAAGTAAATACCATGTCTCTGCCTCTTTACATTTTTCATGATAGAAAGGTGAAAGTAAATAATTTTGACAATTTCAGTGATAGCTATAGGTGCCATGTATTGCACTTTTGGTCTTCAAAATAAATAATTTTCTACATGAGTATGTCAAACCAAATAAAAGATCTCCGTATTATGAAGCACCCTTTTTCTTTGGACTAGAGTGATAAGAGACCCTGGAAAGGACATTGTAAGCTGGATACAGTAGAGTGGTGGTGACATGGCATCTCCAAACATATGTACTACATGTACTGTAGCCCAAAGGCCAAATGAAACATAGCAGACATGATTGCCTTGATTCGAGCGCATATGGCTTGCTATTTGCATGCTTTTATCTATGTCCACTTCATCTAATTCCACTGTATTAAAATTGTTCTGCAGTTACTGATACTGTGTTGACAAATGAGACAAAAATGCTATTGGTAGGAATATTCCATTTTACACAGACTGCATGCTGTAATGAAACATAGTCTTTATAAATGGCACCGTGTGGGAGTGTTTTTCTTTTAATCCATTTTCTGTCCTAGTGAATCAACTAGAATTCTGCTGGCGTGTTGGGACGGGGCAGCAGTCAGCTGCCCCCTGAACCCTCTTTCAGAAGTGCACAGCCTCAATTAGACAAAACACAATAATTAGGGAATCTTTTACCTCTGCATATCATTTGATCCCAGGAACATCCTGATCAATGATTACAAATGACAGGTTCATAAATAAATTAGTTAGCTGATAAGTGTGTAACACTAATCAATTGATCCATGTTAAATGGAAATTAGGGGGAGGCATGATGATTGGCATTGTGGGTTTTGTAGATGTAAAAGTCTGAAATACAAAGGAGGTAATTGTAATATATGGATGTTTTCTTAATGATTGGGAAGTAACTGCTATATATGATAAAAGGCATACAAAAATGTTGATATTTTAAAAAGATCTTATTTTAAACCAGCAGATGTCAGTGTTGTCTGTGGATATGCCATGTGCCATAAAGACTACCAGTGCTGAACCTTTACACTTGACTTTGAGGAGCACCACTGAGCATTTTGTTTGTATTTCAGCCATTTTGCATCATTGTTTAATTTTCCCTTTTGTACTGTAGGTATTTGTTTGTTAGGGGGAACCGCCTCATCCCTTAGTGTACTGTAAGAGCATGTTGGACTGCCTCACACACTTTCTGCTGGATAGAGTGGAACATGCCATATTATGCCAGCACAAAGGACATGAGAGGATGTCACATCATTAATCACATACTGGGCTAAGTCTCATGCGCTTTGAAATGAGAGATCTAGAGTTTGTGTATTGGGCAGATGGGTAATAGCCCATAGGATTAGAAACCAAATATAATGACATAAGAAACACTTTTAGACTCTTAAATGATAAATCTCAAAAATACAGACAAGCATTCATAAAAACATTTTAAACAATTTTAACATGGCTGTAAATGTTTCAAGATATCTCTCTATTTTGTAGAGCTTTCTCAATTCTGTTGTGTTTGCATGTGTGTGCGTGCAGTATTCATGTGGGTTTATCTGTGTGTATGTATGCACGTGTTAAGAGAGGATGGCACTGTTTATAATAGTGCATCTTAGCTAATTTCAGTAATGTGATCCAGCCCCCACTAGCTGACAGTTTAATAGCTATTATTTGTGTCACCCTCTCTCATAATGCTTTTGCAGTAAATTGCTATGTGCAGGAGACTGTGGTGTGACTGACATCTTACCTTGTAATATGATATCTATTGTTTTAATTAAGTGAAAGCGACTGTGACATTTATTGGTTTCCAAGTTACTTGTTAATGGCAGTATAAGAAAAAGAAGTGGAAGTAAATTATCATGGTTTACACTGCATATGTAATTAGCAAATCCTATGGTAATGATCACACATTATTCTTCCTCTGTGAATGTCAATTCATTTGAATACATCCCAAATAAAAACACTGCACTGGTGATGCAACGCAAGACCCCTCCTGGCAACGCTTGAGCCCTCTTCTCCTTTTCTCATCTTTCCATTTGTGTGTGTGTGAGAGAGAGCGAGAGAGCGAGAGAGAGAGAGAAGTGTTTATTTATTCTGTATCACTTTTGTGGGGAAATTTCCCATTATTCTGTTACCAATGCCCCCTGTTTAAAGAAGTGCCAGTAGCCAGTGTGCTTTAAGTCGTCACCCTGTCTGTTTGATCTATGGACTCACTCAGATGTCTTTAGTGGAGCGTAATCATGTTTTTATATGATGTCACTGGTCGTTCCTGTCATTAACTTGCCACCAGCTTGCCAGTTTGGGGAACATATTCGATGTTAGGGTGGTGCATGTGTTGCGTACTCCCCATCCGGCCACTAAAGCTGTATCTGTCTCCAGCACACCAGTTTGTTCTGACAGGCCTGCCACAATGATGACTGCATCACCCAGATGCGGCAGAGCAGCTTGCGAGCCAACCCTGACACCCCGTCAAAAGGAGCAGCCAGCCATCTGCATGAGCCTTCTTCTGCCCCATCAAACCTCCGAGCCCATCTCATCCTGTACAGCCAGCTACCATCAACCAGGCTGTTTGCTCTCTGTTTGCTTTCCACGCTGAGCGCATCCCATGTAACAGCCTTTTCTGGCTTAGATGTTGTTTTATAATATTTACTCCCAAACAGAGTGGCTGTAAATCTCCTCGAATTATTTGCAGATGATCTGAAGTCACCACATAGAAATTGTGACAGTGTCACTCCAAAGCAATCATGGTGGGATGTGATTTGGGGAACTGGAGTAGGAGAGCTGGGTTATGATCAGCCCCCTTGGTGCCAAGGTGCCTTGTTATTGGTAGCCAAGGCAACTCGCTCCCTGTCGTGCTTAGTTTCTGGACTGGCTCTTTCATTGCCTGAAAAAATGTGGCAGGTTCATTGAGAGACAGGCTCAAGATCAGTCACTATGAGATAAGACAATTTCAGAGACATTTAAGTCCTCCAACCCACTAAAGATTGAAGATCTACAATATACTGTTACAGCTACAATATGTATTGCATTAATAAGTGTTGTTATTCTATACACAAAGGGAGATGACTGGGCTTTTCATATGTTATATAATATTATATATTATATATTATATAATATTATAATATATAATATATTATATATATATATATTATATAATATTATATAACAATATTATTGTTATATTACTTTAACTGCAAAGATTCACCTTGCAGTTGAGCAACTAGAAGCATGTCTTGTTGGATGTACTAGCACAAATGTAATGAAGCCAGTTTCTTACCATTATTAACATGACAAACAGGACTGCAGAGGTATGGGAACATTGGGAGGACACTGTGACAAACACAAAGATCAACCTTTAGGGTCAAGTTATACACTGTTGGCATACGAATAAAGAAGGGAACATTTTGCAAGTGGTCTGAGATGCACAGGTGGACAGAGAGCAAAATGACACATTCTATCACAGTCAAGGAAAAGCATCTGTAAAGTTGAAGCTTAAACGACAGATAAAAAGTCCACCTCAACATCTGAGTGGTTGTTTTGGCTGCCAAAACTATCATAAAAGTGCTGAAACTCAAAAGAGTTCCCATGTCAGAGGAATGGAGGCAGTTTCCTTACCTCAGGGCATCATCATGGGTGATCAAGACTGACATGCATCACCAAAGGCTTTCATGTCCAATGAGAACACCTGTCTGACTCTCTGGGTGAAACTGGACAGAGGAATGCCATCGCAAATAACATTTCATATGTGTAACATTGCCTCAGAAGGACATGGTGGCATCGTGCACCCCATAGCAGGGGCAGAGATGCGGAGAATAATTCTGGAGAATGAAGGATTTTGTAGTATGTAAATGTGCTGGTAAATTGTTCAAACACAGTACATGACTACAGCAAAATCCTTATGATG